GCATTTCTGTTGTTAAACTGCCTGGTTCTGTGGCACTTTTTGGAACACTACTGACATATTTTAAATTATATTACCTGTTCAAGAACATAAAGCTTATGATATACATTTAGACCTAATCATAAATTAACCATGCTTGATTACATTGATTAGTCTATTCTTTTTCAGACAGTAACTACACACTAATTGGATTAACTTTCAAAAGTACTTCTGGTTAAAAATAGAGACCGGAATTTGAGGAACTAAGTTTATTTTTCACAAGCTTATAAGAAGTGGGAACATTAAAAAAAATCTTTCAACATCTCAGCAGTAGCCAGGCTGTCTTGGCTGGAAGCTGATGGAATGGGTGGGTGCCTTGGTAATGACTATTTTCATCTTGTGTGTCTATCTTTTTAACTGGTCCTTATTCCTCAGTTCTTATTCTTGTCCCTGTCACAGACCTGGAGCATTCCCAAGTGCCTTAGTTCTTATGACTGGGCTTTTGCCTTATTTCCTGCTCACAGCTTTCCAAGTCCTCTGAGTGTCTCCTTTTCTCCTGTCAGCCCTCTTCTTCTGCCCGCCCCCTACTATGCTGGGAAGGAGGCCCCTCTAGAGATATCACCCCAGAGCTGCCTGCCCAAAGTCTTCAGATTTCCCAGCACTCCCTGCCTATGCACTGGGGCAGCCTACTTCTGGGTCTTGACTCTGACAGGACCCAGAGACAGCTGAAGTGCCAGGTGCCCTGCCTAAATGGTGAGCCTTCACAGCTGGGCCAGTCCCTCCTCCAACTCTGAGCCAAACCTCCTCTCCCAGTCTGCCGACACTGCAGTAGTTCAGTGGTCCAAGTCCAGAGCTCAGACCTTCTCCTTGGCCTGCACCATCATGGGACTTGGAATTCTCTACGTCCCATGGAATTCTGGGATAGGAGGCATGCTAAGCTTCCATGCGGGGAAGATGGTGCGGCTCTGGAAGTGGGGCTGGAAGTGGAAATCAAGTGACCCCAGCCAGGGAAGGAGTTCTGCAGAGGTAGGGAGGAGACCAGATAGGATCTGTGTTTCCTTCAGGCCTCTCCTGGTATAGCAGCATCTCCATCTGCTCTACTCTAACTAGTTTCCTTAACTCTTGCCATGGGTCATGGCTACGTCACACTGTGGGCCCTCCGTCATGTAACACCTGACATGTGACTGAGCTGCTGTGTGGGTATGGACTATGTCCCATCCATCAATTTCTAGTGGAAGTCTTGAATTTTGCATGCACCTTTAAACTCAGCCCGGGCAGGTGGAATACTCTGAATAAATACAGTCAGCCCTCCATACCCATGGGTTCCACAGCCATGGGTGGAAAGTGCTCCATTGCTGCCGAAGCGCACTATGGCATTAGGTCCGTGACAGCTGTATCTGTACTGACGCATACAGACTTTTTTCCTTGGCATTTTCCCTAAACAATACAACACAGCAATTATTTACATAGCAGTTATATGATAAGTAATCTAGAGATTATTCAAAGTATACAGGAGGATGTGCATAGGTTACATGCAAAATTTATGCCATTTTATATAAAAGACTTGAGCATCCACAGGTTTGGGAATCATCAGAGGTCCTGGAACCAATGCAGACACTGAGCTGTTTGTACTAATTTATAATCTTTAGAGCCAACTCCATAGCCTAGTGGTTAAGGGAGCAGGATCCCACATGGCTGGCCACATGGTTTGAATCTCAGTCCTCGTAGCTTGAAAAACCATGCCAGGCCACGTGTGTGTATACTCAGAATCCTGGCAGGATGGAGAAATGGAGAAGAGATTGCAGCGTGACCATACCACATTGACGATGCTTTCTCCCTCTCTCTCTGTTTCTCTGTCTCTCTGGTGAGTGCATGAGCCCTCTGGCAATTAAACACAAACAAACAAAAAGCCTTGATGCCAGTATTATCCATCATAAGAACTTAGCACGAGGCAGTTTGCTAAACAGTTTATATGAACCAGCTTATTCAGTCTAGTTCTAGTCCATTCCATTAGGCCAGTTCTGGCGAGTCTTGCAGAGTCCTGCTCAAATCACAAAGGTGAGAGCTGAGCAGAGTGGCTGTGTCCATCAAAATCTCTGTTCTGGTCTCCTCCCCTCTCCTGTAAACCCCCCAGAAGTCAATCATGGAGTCCCCTAATGACCTTAATCCTAATCTCTTCCCAAAGGTCCCGCTTTTCAACATGATAGTCAGAATAAATTCACACCCTCTTAATCCCATCACACCAAATCCCAGTTCATGACTTTGAGGAGGACTTACAAACCAAAGCAAGTCTTCAAGATGATGCTGAGAAATGGAAAGTTTTATCATTCTCTAGTATAATTGAGGGAACAAAGGCATAAATAATTTGCCCAAGATCACCCAGAGAAACAGCAGAGGAGCAGGGATTTGAACCAAGGCTGGCTGCTGGCAGCACATGGCCTCTCCTTTGGTAGTGTACTGATTCATCAGCCCAGCAACTGCCATGACTATAGCCAGACTGCAGTTATAGCTCAGAATATTCAGAGGGAAGGGAGATTAGGAGCAGAGCATCCCACGCATTCATTCATGTACTCCTTCAGCAAACAGAGCAAGTATACAACTGTATGCTCGGACACATTTGGCTCCGACCCTTGCAAATCCTTTCCTCTCCTGGAACTCCCATCATACTTTTTCTCCCTAGTGAATGACGGCTCAGTCTTCAAGAGTCACCATATTTTCTTCTCCAGGAAGGACTTGCCTTATTCACTTCTTTTTCTATTTTTAAGTTTATGTATTTACCTCTTCCATGAGCAAAAGAGACAGAGAGAGAGAGACAGACACAGGCACTCCTAACAGGATCTTCATGTCACAATTCACCACCCCCCAGCTTTGACCAGCCCTGGATCATGGGTACACACACTCAGCATGTTCAGAGAGGTCTCTGGACATAAACCTAGAACCTTCCCATGAGAGTCAGCCTTGCAGAGCATCGTGTTACCACAATGACACTGTCTGGGCCCACCTTATTCATTCTCCTGGCACATAGTTGGGTCTGCAGAAATGTATGTTTTTTACTTAATGTGCCCCTTATTGTTCCATACACCCACCCCTGCCTCTGGCTCTTGTTTGTAAGTTGTTGCCACTTAGGGACTGAAGAGTAGGTGGGTAAGTTCATGTTTAAGCAGGCAGGCATTGGGGGACTTTTTTTTAAAGGGGAGGGGTTTGGGGGGTTTTTTTTTTTTTTTTTTTTTTTTTTAATTTTTCCAGAGAGCACATATGCTCGAGAGAGACAGAGAGAAGGAAAGTGAGAAAGCACCCCTCATCCCTCATGGTCATGCTGCAGTCCCTTCTCTTCCATTTCTCCCTCCCTTCAGAATTGTGGACACACATGCGCATGTGCTTGATGTGTTTCTTACGCCACCAGACCCAGGACTCAAACTATGCAGTGGGCCATGTAGGATCCAGTCACCTTAACCACCAGGCGAAAGGCTGGTCTGGCAGGTGCTTTTTAAAATTCTGTGCAGGGTGGGAACCAGCAGTTAGCGTAATGGCTATGTCGCTGGACTCCCACGTAGTCGACCGCGGTTCGTGTCCCGGACCCGGTGGCTTAAAACTCACGCCGGGCGCGTGTGCGTGCGTGCCCAAGATCCCCAGAGGAGAATGGAGGAGAAGGGATTGTGGTGTGACCATCCCCTCTGGGGGGTGATTTCTCGCTTTCTGTCTCTATGTCTCTCTCTGTCTGTCTGGCGAGCGCACGCGCCCTACAGTGAAAATCTCTCCAAAAAAAAAAAAATTCTGTGCAGGGAGACAGCAGGTGGTGTGATGGCTAAAATAGTGAATTCCCACACAGCTGACAGCACGGTTCAAGTCCCAGACCCAGCAGCTTGAAAATCACATCCATGCACATACACGCATGCCCAAAATCCTAAGAAGGGAAATAAGGAGAAGGGATTGCAGTATGGTTATCTCCCCAGGAGATGATTTCTCACTTTCCTTCTCTCTGTGTCTCTTTCTCTCTATGAAAAAAAAAAAAAAAAAAGGCTGGGCCTAATACTTTAAAAGCAAACTTCTCTTTAAGTGACCCTCTCTATAGGAGGAGAATAATATATACACAATCCCTTAAATACTCCAACATACATTTATATTTAAAAGGAATACTTTTGGAATCCTTTTGCAAAACTGATCACTTTCAGTTTATGGATTTTTTTTGTGAAGCTAAAATTAGTTCAGATTTTTATGTGTATAATAAAATTCAAATCAAACAAAACAAGAGCAGTTCTCTGCAGACCGCCCTCCACCTACCACTACCCCACCCAGGGTAACCACATTCAGTTCTTTCTGAATCAGCGAGTTTTCAGGTTTGTGTGAAGTCAGAGCTGAAGCCCACAAGCCGCAAAGCTTCAATGAAACTATTCTTGAGCCCTGTTAATACTATGGGCACAGTCAGGCTGAGTCAGCGTGAATTAAGGTGGTCTGCTTGTCAGCACACTCCTTGGATCCTGGAGGAACACCCCCACATGTGGTCTCCAATAAAAGATCCCTTCATCACGTTCCTGGAAGGCTGACGTTGAGGTAGAGTGTGCTGTGGTCTTAGGACAAGTTAAGAAAGGCCTCACAGGGAGTCGATGGTGGTACAGCAGTAAAACATGGTGCTCTGTGAGGCTTCCACATAGGAAGGTTCCCAGTTCGCACCCAGAGACCTCCCTGAGTACTGCAGGTACATGTATGCCCACAATCCAGGCTGGTCAAAGTGCTGGTGGGTTGCAATGTAAAGACCTTTCAGGGGTCTCTCTTATTCCAATCTCACTGTATCTCAACATCAACATTCATGGAGAAAGGATTGGAGTAAAAGTGAGAGAGAAAGAAACTCTTCACACAAGTATTTAAAGAAAGGCATGACAGAGGAGAAATAGAAGCAGAAGGTATTAGACCCTCATGACATGATCATATGTTAATCTGTGCTTGGAAGACTTTGCATGGCTACAGTCCACATAAAATAGCAGTGTGTGTGTGTGTGTGTGTGTGTGTTTGTGAGGCAGACTTACTTGTGCATGTTTTCTTATCTGGGTTAAGAGCAAATCCTCCACGGCACCGGCAAAAGTAGGAGCTGTCTGCGTTTACACACTCGTGCTCACATCCATGGTTTTCCAAGGCACAGTAGTCCACAGCTGTAGAGAATGAAATGCATTCAGGGTTCAATTAGAAATGCAAAGAGAGGAAAGGGAATGTGAGAATGGAAGTATATATATATATATACTTATATATATTATATATATATAATATAAATAAGAATTAATATTGTTGCCTAAAAAAGAGTTTGGATAAAGAAATATGAGTCCAAGGCTTCCCTTTCCTGACATCCCCTTAAAAAGCCAGTTGTCCAGATCAGAAAATTTCTATCAGAAGACCAACTAAAAAAAAATTTTATTTTATTGTATTTAAAAGAAAAGCAAATCAAAATCATCGTGAAGTATTTACACCTATCAAATTGGCAAAAATTAAAACGAGACCAACTCCAATAGTGATGGCCAATCTGCAGCAGTGTGCATGGGACACAGCTGCCCCACAGGTTGAGGTGACAGAAGAGGAGTCAGGCTGACTCCAGGAATTTTGGTGTGAGCAATTGAAAGGATGGGGATGCCATTAGCTGAGACAGGGAAGGTGCAAGAGGAGCAGGTTTTATGGGGGGAAGATCAGGAGTTCCTTTTTGGGCATGAGCTATGACTTAATTGTAAACAGGAAGACAAAATTTGGTGAAAAAAAAGTGGATCTCAAAACTGTATAGTCAAGGGAACCAGCAGTTAGCGTAATGGCTATGTCGCTGGACTCCCACGTGGTCGGCTGCGGTTTGTGTCCCGGACCCCGTGGCTTAAAACTCATGCCGGGCGCGTGTGCATGCGTGCCCAAGATCCCCAGAGGAGAATGGAGGAGAAGGGATTGTGGTGTGACCATCCCCTCTGGGGGGTGATTTCTCGCTTTCTGTCTCTATGTCTCTCTCTGTCTGTCTGGCGAGCGCAAGCGCCCTATAGTGAAAATCTCTCAAAAAAAAAAAAAAAAGAGAAAAAAAAGAACTGTATAGTAAAGCCATCAGATGGTGTGGTAATTAAGGTGAGTCCCAGACCTGGCAGCTTGAAAATCAGGCTCTGTGTGTGTGTGTGTGTGTGTGTGTGTGTGTGCACCCGGAATCCCAGAAGGAGAATAGAGGAGAAGGGATTGTGGCATGGCCATCGCCCTGGGAGGGGAGGGTGATTTCTCGCATTCCTTCTCTCTGTCCCTCTCTATCTTTCTCTGGCAAGTGCATGCACACTATGGCACAAAACCTTAAAAAAAAAAAAAAAAAAAAAAAAAAAAAAAGACCTGTATATTCAATAGGAAGTGATTGCTAATATGTAGGAAGGGTGTGAAAAAGTTCTGGAACTAGGTAATAATGATGGTTGCACAACATAGTGGATGGACTAAATGTCACTAATAGCAAATGTTATATCACATGTATTTTACCACAAGTAAAAACAAAAAAGAAAAAGTAGACCAAAAAAAGCCTGTATATGCACAGTAACTATATCCAGGTAAAATATACAACTAAAGTAAAGCCTGGAAATTAGAAAAAAAATGCTGGCTGGGTTAAGGTAGAACTACGGATGCTATTTTCTTTTTCCTTTTATGAAAAATGTTTCCCTGTATAATATTTTAGAATACGTAAATCTGAAAAACTTGTAAGTAGGGGTTGTCAGGTAGTGTGGTGGTTAAGGTGCTGGATTCCCACATGACCAACCATGGTTGGAGTCCTATGGTCAAATTATATAATAATAATAAATGCAGTTAAATAAATAATTTTAAGAATTTTTAAATAGTAACAAGGAAATTAAATCTATAAAATTAATACATACATATAATTTTTTTAGAGACTTTTTTTTTTTTGCTATAGGGCACATGTGCTTGCTGGAGAGACAGATTCAGAAGGCAAGAAATCACCCCCCTGAGGGGATGGCCACAACACAATCCTTTCTCCTCCATTCTCCTCTCAGGATTTGGGGCACATAAGCACATATACCCAGCGTGAGTTTGAAGCCACTGGGTCTGGGACTCGAACCACAGTCCAGGTGGGAGTCCAGTGATACAACAATTATACCATCTGCTGGCCCCATATATGTACAATTTTAAAAGGGCCAACAGGTAAAATGGAGGTTAAGGTGGTTGTATCCCACAGGGCTGGCTATGCGGTTTGAGTCCTGAACTAGGCGACTTAAAAATCATGCCATATGTGTTTGTGCCCAAATCCTAAGAGGAGAATGGAGGAGAAGGAATTGCGGTGTGGCCATCTCCTCAGGGGCTGATTTCTCACTTTCCTTCTCTCTCTCACTCTCTCAGACAAGTGCATGTGCCCTATAGCTAACTAAAAAATAAAATAAAAATTTTTAAAAAGCAAAATTAAGCAAGGAGAAGATACTGACATAATTAGCATAGTAATTAAAAGATATAAAGGGAAAAGCTGAAGATTTTAAAGGTTAATAACCTGTTTTGTGAGGTTTTTTTGCTCCCAGTTCATTATGTTTCAGTATAAAGTGTTGTTTTTGTAACTTCATCTCTCCAAAGAATTCACAGCACATGACATTTGGGGGTTTAATACACTAGTCATCATGGGGGGGACAGGGCTTTGCACTGTTTTAGGGTCTGAATGTCATTAGTCAGTTGCTGGAATGACGTCATGACATAAATGTTAAGCTAGCCATAAATCTTTCTAGAAGGTAATTTCTCATCTTTCAAGAACCATTGGATTATTAAACAAATTAATAGCAACACCAGTGAAACTGAGATCAAGGAGCATCAAGCCCTGGCACATGCTCCAGTCTGTGTGTCTCAGGAGTTGGCCACATTGTGGCCACATGGGCCTACGTTACAGTCAACAAGACCCACTTTCAACCTCCTCATGATGGGCCTGACCTGCCATCTTGAAAATCTCCCAACCCCTGATATGGGTGTCTACTGTCGGTCAGCAAGTCCCGTCTCAGGCCACCCATTTTTTACTGTCCCTTCAAAGAGAGGAGATGCTAGTTTGTTTTTGTTTCTTTTTTTTCTTTTTTTTTAATTAGGTTTTTGCTATAAGGCACATGCACTTGCCAGAGAGAGATGCATGCACTTGCTAGAGAGAGACAGAGAGAAACAGTGAGCAGGAAAGTGAGAAATCATTCCCAGGTGGGATGACCATACTGCAATCGCTTTTCCTCCTCTCCCCTCGAGATTTTGGGCACATATGTACATGCACCAGGTGTGAACTCCAGGCCACCTGGTCTGGGACTCAAACCATGGTTTGCCATGTGGAAGTCCAGCACTGTAACCACCATGTCACCTGCTGGCCCCAGGAGCTACTTAATCCAATTTCCAAGTTTCAAGACATGGATGGTGCTACAGTGATGAATGATCAGGTCACACTCTAACTAAGACAGAAACTCAGATTTTATCTCAAACCTGAACTTCCTGGGACCAGCAGATGGTGTAATGGCTACATCACTGGACTCCCATATAGTCAGTCAACTGGTTTGAGTCCTGGACCTGGTGGCTTAAACTCACGTTGGGCGCATGTGCATGCGTGCCCAAGATCCCGAGAGGAGAATGGAGGAGAAGGGATTGCGGTGTGGCCATCCCCCCTGGGAGGGTGATTTCTCACTTTCCATCTGTCTTTCTCTGTCTCTCTGGAGAGCGCACGCGCCCTATATCAAAAACCTCTCCAAAAAAAGAAAAAAAATTTTTTTGCTCCTACTCCGTAGTTTTTGACAGTTAATAAACAACTTTCAAATTTTCAAAAAACTGAATTTTAAAGATAATGTTCAAAATATTTGTTGTAATTTTGTTTATGACTCTATAACAACAGAGACAGTATGGTTTTAAATATTTTTGAGAAAATATTTACATGTCAACTACTCAGACTGTTGAAAAGCAAATGCCCAGCACACACGTCACACATAAACCTTCTCAATTCAGCCCTCCCTACCAAGTATTCTGTGATATACCATCTGCTAGCAAAGATCAGTCTCTTTTTCTTCCTTCAAAGTCTTCCTCAAGATAATCCTCTGGTGTGGTTTCTCTTTTGCAACCTCTACTGATTACAATGCTGGGCTGGAAAATCCAGCTTATTTTATGATACGAATTCTTTCTATAGCTTCTCTAATTCTCTCTGCCAGGCAGAAATGTTCATGGTGCCAGGCCATCTTTCCAAGAGCTTCTGTTGGCTTACTAGAGATCTACCTTAGTTCCATGGCTTTTTGGTTAATCTTCAGATATGACATTCCATTCAAAGCCCTGTCCAATAATGAGTATTTCCAATTTCTGATTCAATGCAACAGGTATAGTCGAACTTATGCAAATAACCTTTCTGCCACAAAATAAAAATACTCCCAAATATTTTCCAATTCCAGAGGGGTCAGGAAGGAAGAAAAATTTATGTTTCCACTTAAAGAAACAAACAAGAAGAAAAACTTTTTTTAAGAATTATCTTATATAATTTTATTTATTTATTTTAATTTTACCACAGAGGGATAGAGCGAGAGAGAGCGTGAGAGAGACGGAAAGTGAGAAAGCAAGTCACCAGGTCCAGGACTCGAACCGTGGTCAGCCATGAGGAAGTCCAGTACCCTTAACCACCACACTACCTGCCAGCCCCAAGAAAAAAATATTTTAACAAATTACTGAACCTATCAACATCTCAAAAGAAAGAAAAATCCTTAAATTGGGAAAACAAATCATAGTAAAAAAAATCAGTAGTGTTTTACTCAAAAGTCATAAAATTCTATTTCACCAGTTTAGTCTTATGTTCAATCTCTCTTCCACTGAATTTGCAGTGCTACTGTGGTCTGATCTTTCATTTAAATCCTGGAAGTTCACCTTCAACATTATTAATTGATATTTCTTGTCCTTAGCATTAAGTTGGTCATTTTCTTGGTTGCTTTTTGTTCTCTTATTTCTGTATTTCTTTAGTTTTCCTGCCATTCCTTTCAGAAATTCTTGAAGAGTGGGTCTAGTATTGGCAAATTCTTTCAGGTCTTGTTTATCTGAGAATATTTTTATCGTTTCTTTCCATGTGAAGGATAATCTCGGACTTGAGCTGGTTCAGGCCCTTGGCTCGTCTGGAGCTCCGGTTCCGCTTCTCCCTGTGAAGCTGCTGTCTGGTGAA